TGCTTTTGTCCTTTGACAAAGTCATGTAAAGTTTATTCCAACAAGATGACTGTCCTCGTCAATGAAAAGGATGAAAAGAAAACAGCAGCATTGCTTTTTGCTATTCTACTGTGAAAGGAGAAAGGAAAATAATGGAGGTTCATCTGTTATGCAGCAAAGTTCAAGTTCAGTTTTACATCACAGTCTCAAGAATGAGGTTGAAACAAGCTCACCGCAGTTTCTAACAGACCTTTTGACAGCAGCTCTGTGTGAACTGTCAACACTGCTGAACACAATCTCTCATGTTCCAGAGATCCAGCTGATTGCTTGAGAGCATGATGGCTCAGGTGATTAATCAGGTGACTCATCTCAAACCGAACATCAAACTACAGCTGATCCGTCAGATAATTGGTCCGATTCTACAGTTTGTTGGGGGCTTGTTTAATCCCTTATATCGGTCTTATAGGGAAAGAAAGCTCACAGAAACTCAGCAGGAAAAATTTTATCTCATTATTCTTAAAAAAAGAGATTCCAACAAGGATCCAACTCCCAGTCAGAGCCCAGACCTTAATCCAGTAGAAATACTGTGGACTGAACTCAGAGAGCTGCTCACACCAGACCTCCAGAGAATGTGTCTGACTGAAGTAGCTGTATAAGAAGAATGGTCCAAACTTCCTCCTTTGAGCAGCTCATTGAGTAGCTCTGATCAACAGCTACTGAAGAACTGGTTTCAGTCCAGTTCAACCAGTTATTAAATCCAAGAGTTCACTGACTGTTTCCACCAGAGCTGTGAAGGTTTAATGACTGTCTTCACTGTTTATGTGATATTAGCTTAAGCACATTGTGATTGTCTGTATCACATTTTATGAGCAGTTAATGCAGAAAACCAGGTCATTCGGAGGTTAGCCACTGTATATATATATATATATATATATAGAAAGGCATTTAAAGACTTCTCATATCTTGGTACAACCGTCACAAAAAACCCAGAGGATCTTCTACAAAAGAATTGGCATAATAAAGTTGAGCAACTTAAACAAAGTATAAATTTTTGGAAGACTCTTCCTATTTCTCTTGTAGGTAAGATTAATGCAATCAAGATGATTGCGCTGCCACGTTTCCTACATCTTTTTCAGTCTCTTCCATGTTACATTGCCCAGTGTTACTTTAAACAATTAGATTCAATTTTTGTACCTTTTCTTTGGAACTACAAAACCATCAGGATCTCCAAAAAACACCTGTGTAAACCTAAAAACGCTGGTGGCTTTGCTTTACCAAACTTTAAAATGTATTACTGGGCGGCTCATCTATCTATACTTGCTTGGTGGAGGAAAGGCCCCCCCTCCTCTTCACACTCCTGCCCTGCCTGGCTATGCTTAGAACGATCGCTATGTAATGAGTTGAATATGGAAATAACTGACGAGATTTGGGAAGAATGTCTACGAAACGTACAAAAGTGTTCAGTTAACACCAGGCACAACCTAATACAGTATAAAGTGCTCCACAGACTCCATTACTCGCAAGAAAAGCTACATAAATTTTACCCGGATGTCCCACCAACATGTAACCGCTGTAAATCCTCGATAGGAACTCTAGCACATTCATTCTGGGCATGTAGTAAACTTTATTTATTTTGGAAATGTATTTTTCAGTGTTTTTCTAAGGCTTTTGGTAAAAATCTGGCACCCAACCCTTTGGTTGCCATCCTAGGGGCCACAAGTGTCCTTTCTTCTGTTAATAAATTTGAAAGAAGAGCAGTTCAGTTTGGGATGGTGATTGCTAAAAAGCTGATTTTGCGAGTGTGGAAAACGGACTCTGTGCCTACTTATAACTTATTTTTGGGAGAACTGTCAAACACTTTACATCTGGAGAAGTTGAGATTCTACAATGAAGATAGAGGGGATACGTTTGATAAAACTTGGGACCCAGTACTGAATTACCTTAAAAATGTGAGCCCATAGACACTGGCTATTGTACAAAGCCTCACAGTGCAAACAAGAGTATGATCTTGTATATGTCTTCCGACCTATTTATTTTACTATTATTATTATTATTGTTTATTTATTTTTCTGCTTTTATATTCTATCTATAGTAGATATTCATTTTATGACCATGAAATATCGTTGTAATGCTTGATGTGCTGTGTTCTCCCCTTTTTTTTTTCTTTTCTCTTTTTTCTTCTCTTCTCTTTTTCCTCTACTTATTTTTTCTCTTCATTTTATTATTATTATTTTTTTTTCATTTTTCTCTATATTGAAAATCAATAAACATATTTATATATATATATATCTATATATATATAGATATATATACGTATATATGTGTGTGTTTCTGCACTTGAAGGAGTGGCATGTGCTGCTTTGACCTTCTGTTATAAATGAAATTTAGTATAAAAAATAGTTGTTGGGGGCAACAAATTCAGGGTGAAAACTGGACTGAACTGAAGACAGTAACTCTGTGTCATTATTGCAAATAATGTTAATGTTATGCAAACTAGAAGGGCGCACACCTCCACCAAGGCCTGTGTCAACAACAACATACACCAGACTTCAGAGAAACTAGAATCACCTCCTGGTGGTTGTCTGCCTCCTCCACTCAGACTAGTTCCAGGTTACCTCCTGTTTATCCAGAGTCATAGAAAATATGAATCATTTGTGTGAAATTTGGTCATAATTGCTGTGAATTCTTGAGTAATGGCTAAAAAGTGTTTGTGTGGTCACACTGACCTTGATCTTTGACTTTTGCCCACCAAAATCTGATCAGTTTGTCCTGGAGTCCAAGTCAAAGTTTGTACCAAATTTGAAGAAGTTCCGTCAAGGCGTTATTGAGATATTGTGTCCATGAGAATGGGATGGACGAACGGACAGGCCATGACAATATGTCTGGCTCTGGCTGTCAGCACGGAGGAATAAAAAATCTAAATTCATGGTAAATGATCCGGACCTGCCTCAAACTTTCATGGGTCTTCCCTTGTCCATGACCCATCCCTCCACCAAGTTCAGTGCAAACTGGTTCAGAACTTTTAGTGTAACCCTGCTGACAAATGAACCTCTTTGGTGGAGGTAATGACACCACTGCTGTCAAGCTCCAGGTCAAAGTGCGGTGCCTCTACAGACACCTGCCATGAGAAGAACACTGTTAACCCCTTAATGACTTATTTTTCTGTCACATTTGGTTTAACAGGACAGTTTGACGTGTTCGTCCTGCTGCACAGTTGTACCTCTAAATCCCCAGATCCCCAAGTTTAAACAGTTTGTCAGGAGGAAATCTGGAGCTTTTAGGTGCTTTTAGTCATTTATAGAAAATGAGTGAGTGTATCTTTAAACCAGTGTGACTTTCCTCAGTCCTGTGGGGCTTCTCATTGAACAGATGCTCTCAGCAGTGACTGCTCTCACCACAGCAGCCCTGTTGAAGCACAACGCTTCAGTCTGTTTCCCAGTTTATGTTTCCTCTGTTTATCATTTGGGCCTCTTTGTACACACTATCTTTAAATGAATCTCCTTTTTTAGAAATAAATGTGATTTCAGCTCTTGTTCTTGTAGTATAAGCCTCCCCTCGTTCTGGATGCCATGTATAAAAATCTGTTGCTTGCCATCACAATATGCTGATCCCAACACATGCTGGATGGTTGCAGTGTATGAAGGCAAAGACTTGTCTTACCTTATTTAAACAGTTGTTCCCTCTTCACCAGGGTCTGTGCAATACCATCCACCACCTTATTATAATCTAGTGCTCTGACTAGATCATTATATGCTTCCCATTCCTGGTCCTCATGCTAATCCTACATTTGTGACCAAAGCTTTGTGGTTTGTCTGTTTTGTAGCTTGGTTGACTTTTTATTCCTCTGCCCCGGCCACATGCAGAGCCGGAGGCATATTGTTTTCAGGTTGTCCATCTAGATGTCCCATTCTAATGGGCACGATATCTCAATAACGCCTTGAAGGAACTTCTTCAAATTTTGAACAAACATTCACATTCATTCGGTGTCCACCGGTATAATTGCTGGGACACCTGTAGTACATATGTCACTACTCTTGACATGCCCACCTTGTATGGCACTAAGTCAAGTTAAAAGTGGACATGAACGGGAGAATGAGAATGCACAAACCAGCAGTGTAGGCACCACAAGCTAGTGACTGTGATTTAAATAGAGTTTTATGACCCTCAAAGATAGAATGAGGAATGTGCTGTATTTTCCTAATACAACTGATCAGATTTTGATGGTCAAAGGTCAAAGGTCAAGGTCAGTGTGACCTAACAAAAAACTTTTTAGCCATTACTCAACATTTCACACAACAATTATGACAATATTTCACACAAATTTTCTATGACTCTGGATAAACAGGGATGTAACCTGAAACTAGTCTGAGTGGAGGAGGCAAAGGACCATGAGGAGGTGATTCTAGTTTTCTGAGAATGAAGAACAAAAAAAATATCCGAGCCATGTGTCTCATGTTGTACTTCTAATATTATATAAAGATTTTTGCTGAGTTAAGTTATTCTCTTTTTGCATTTAACATTTATTAAATATGCAATCATAAAACATGAACATTTACATGTATCAAGAATCATACGGCGCATTTAAGCATCACATCAATCCATCCTATATGAGATCTATTAGTATATTCATCTCAGACATAGGTGACCTCAAATAACCTCATTTCAGCCAATATGCAACTATCCATGTGTTTAACCATATACTCCTTCACAGGAGTGCACACATAGACCACAGCCAGGTCTGTAAACAGGAGTGCAAAGAGATATAAACTGCAGCAGTCCAGCACTCTGCAGGATTATCAAGAGTTTGTGACATTCATTCGTCTCTGTAACTGTTGTGTTACACCTGTTACAGGTGCCCATTGAATGTTGAAGACATCAGTCCTCAGTTGGAGTCTGGCTGCTATACTGAAATTAATTTCTGTGTAATTTCCTGTAGTTTTGAGAAATGGGCGTTGTCTTATTTGAAAGTGTCATTAAATATATTTATTCCTCTGTCTCGTGTCTGTCCTCGTCCTCCTCAGATTAGTAAGCAGCAGCTGCAGACGGTCAAAGAGCGCTTCCAGGCATTCCTCAACGGAGAAACTCAGATCGTGGCTGATGAGGCCTTCATCAATGCTGTGCAGAGCTACTATGAGGTGAGTTTGTTTAATCTGTCACACCTGTATATTCACAAAAGCTTTTTCTGTATATTTATTGACAAATCTATTGTATATAAAAAGCCATTAACCCTGACTCTCATATCTGATCTCTGACCTCCCAGATAGTTCCTCTATGGAATCAATAAAATACTAAATGTTAATTCTTAATCATTATCTATAAACAGGAAATGTCTGTAAACTTTATGTCACTTCAGAAATCTAAACCACCTTTTAAAGCTGCATTCTTCTCCTAGCCTCCTCTTGTTGAAACTGAATCTGCCCAAGCAAGAGAACTAATAATGGGGTGAAAAGTATCCAAACCTCAGTGGAGGTGACTGGTCTGGGCTCTGATAAATGATGCAGAGCGTGCACTCAGCTCCTCGGGGCGGTTTTAATAATGTGCTCCCACATGGCCGGGATTCAGTCAGCTTGATCCGTCCAGAACAGAGGGAAATAAAATGTGATGAAAGAAGAGCTGGAGTCTTCGCTGCATCTCAGTTTGTATTACACTGTTCATTTACAACTTAACATCTGACCTAACAGCATCTGGAGTGACTCACAGTGAGTAGAATAAGCAAAGATTCTCTCTGGCTCAGTAGGTGACTCATTAACATCAGACAGTTTATAAAGGCTGTTTGTTGACCTCATTCTTGCATCGTAAATTTCTAAAATTCTATTTTCATTTTGTCATTATGGAGTACTGAGTGTAGACTGGTGAGGGAAAAATGATTTCAGCAATTGCTCATGCTCTATATGTAAACTCTCAGCCTTATTCAGAAAACATGACAACAACTCCACTGCTCACTGTTTGTTATGAATGCACATTTTGCACAATGAAAATGAAAAAACAAACAAACATTTAATTCAATTCATTAAACCCCCCAAAACTCTTCTTTGTAAAAACAGCTTTGCACAGATAATGTGATGAACCTACTGTGGGTACTACACTTAGCTGCCACCTTATTAGCTCCACCAGCTAAACTATTACACTCTAATCCATCAACTTCAGTTTTTACTGAAACTGCTGAGTTGCAACCCTGTTGCCAAAAATAGTGTTTATTCTGCTAATTTGCAGAAAACATCAGGATTAAACTTTTAATAATAAATACATTGAAAATGACATTTTGCAGACATGTTGCAACATGTTACTGATAGATTCCTCAAAACCTCTGCAATAGATTATAGTGTTGACTTCTTCAATAAATCAAACTGTAATCTCTCCCTAATCTTAACCAAACAGTTTTGTAGCCTAAACTCAACCATGTGGGACATTACATGCAGGATTTGACCCTCTGTGTCTGGTATCAAAGTTCCCCTCACTGACCACCGCCCCCCTGTGGGTTTTGTCAGGTACCAAAACAGCACTTCATGGACTGGGAAACCGTTGCCAGGGAACATAATCCAAGCAGAAATTACCAGGAGGTATTAGGAAAGAATAATTTTGCAGTAATGTAATTTCCAGGAGACGAGGCTGTTTACAGTCAAATTTATGCTAATTTTGATGGTGGTAGTTTGTGGTGCTGATGAGCTGCATTATACTTGTCTCTCTAATATTGAGTCCAGTATAAATTAGAAACACAGAGAGGTGTTTCTGTTATTTAGGCTACCCTCACTGATATAAGAGGGGTGGGCAAAATAATAGAAACACCTGTCAACATAATGCCAGCACCACAAACAAGGCTACATCCTCCAAAATGATACAGTCGAATCAAATCTTTGTTAAGCAGCGTATGAGAAGATGTACTGAAGGACTCTCCGAGCTGCCTTTTAGCTTCAGCTAGATGCCCTATTTACATTACATCTGTTGCACTGCTTATCTTTGTCACCATGTTAACTGTATGGTCTCTGTTAAATAAATAGCCCTTGAGACTAAATGTGTATAGAGCCACATGTGTACAGCAGACCTGTCAGATCCAGTAAACTATATTTGAAGTTGTAAATGAATTCATCCAAGTTCTCTGATGATGTTTTAAAACTCAACGCATGTTGATATTTTTAAAAGTAAACTCAATACCTACCTTTTGAGTCTGGCTTTTGATTGAATTTTGTGTATTTTATTCATTATCTTTCTTTGTATTTATATATTTTAAGCTGTTTTACTGGTGTGTCCTTTTTTTCTATGATTATTTTCTGAATTGTTTTCCTTCTTATACCCTACTCTTACTTATGGTTATTTTAGTTCTACTTTTATTTCTGGTTTTACTCACTTCCAAACATCTTCTCTCTTTAAGCACTTTATAAGTTTATCTTTACTATTTTGTCTTCATTTTTATTTGATTTTTAATATCCTGCCTTTTATTTCTGGGTTTACGCACTTCAATACATCTCCTATGTTTCAATATTTTATTATTTTATCTTTATCTTTGCTTTCCAGTCTTCAGTGTTTCCTCAGTGCAAATTTATGAGCTTCATGACAGCGATTCCTCAGTTCCATTATTTCTTTTCATGTATTACTTGGTCATTTATGGTTTTGTGTTTAAAGGTGTGTGTGTGTGAGGGGGGGTGGGGGTGGGGTGGGGTGTGTGTGTGTGTGTGTTGTTTTTTAAATTGCTTTTATTCTGTAACGCACGTTGTCTGTGTTACATTATTTGTATGAAAAGTCTGATTGATTGATTGATTGACAATTAATGAATCTATCATGAATATATTATTGTAAACTTTATGTTGCACTGTACGTGTGTTTGCTAACAGTTGATCCAGTGATGTGTTGTAGAGGAGACGGACTGGTGCAAGAACAGAACAGGGGAGTGTATCTGTTGGTGGCGCTGACACATTGACTGGCGCTTCCTTATCAGTTAATGTGGCAGCACAAGCAAGCCAAATGAGAACGGTGTGATATTTAACAGATGAAGCTGGTGGCACAGGTTATCCAATTCAATTAAAACCTAAAGATCTCAGCTTTAGCTCCGGGCTAAAACGGATGGACGCAGAGAGAGAGAGAGAGAGAGAGAGAGAAAGAGAGAGAGAGAGAGATTGGGGGATAGACAGGAATAGAAAGATAAAGGGAGACAAAGGGTCAGAAAGAGCTTAGCAGTGACTGCAGCACTTCTAATCACAGACATTTGCAGATTTTTTGATAGTGTAAACAAAAACAAACAAAATTATTTTACTGTTAACAAACATACTACCGTAAAACTTCAATTAGAAGCCGAGTCCCAGTTAAAGGCCGAGTCTCTTTCACTGGCTTTCACTGGTGTGGCTTCACATTTAGTGCTATACAAATAATAGTAAGATTGAAAACTGCGGGAACAACTGTGCAAGGCAGAGGCCCATAGCGACCCCAACAGAGGGCAGGATCTGGGAGCAAACCGCAACATTCTCAGACATGGGAAACCAACAACAGAGTTGAATGTGAAGGAACCCACCTGGCAGGAAGTCCAAGACATCGTCCGCAAAGCCAGATCATCAGCTGCCCCCCGCCCAAGTGGTACACCTTATAAGGTGTACAAAAAATGCCCAAAACATCTTCAGAGGTTATGGAAGAGCATGAGGAAGATCTGGGCCAAGGGTACAATTCCATCAAGCTGGAAACTGGCAGAGGGATGTTTTGTCCCAAAAGAGGAGGGGTCTTCCACAATCTCCCAGTTCAGGACAATCTCACTCCTAAATGTCGAGTGCAAGATCTTCTTCTCAGTGCTGGCTAGAAGGATCACCTCTTACATGACGCAAAATCACTACATCAACACATCCATCCAGAAAGGTGGCATCCCAGGCTTTTCCGGTTGTCTAGAACACACCTCAATGATCAGCCAATTGATCCGGGAAGCAAAGCAGAAGAGAGGTGACCTAACAGTTGTCTGGTTAGATCTCGCTAATGCTTATGGGTCAGTCCCACACGACCTCATCCAAGAAGGACTCGACCACTATTACATCCCAGTGGTGATTCGAGACATGATCACCAGCTATCTTGCTGGGTTCAAACTCAGATTCACATCACCCCTTTTTACCACTGACTGGCTAGACCTCCAAAAGGGGATTCCTACAGGGTGTACCATCTCCCCCATCTTGTTCATTATGGGAATGAACCTACTGATATCCGCAGCTGAGGACATAACCCGGGGTCCTAAATTGGAGTCAGGAATTGTCCAATCTGTGCTGCGAGCGTTCATGGACGATATCACAATAACAACTATGACCCACGTCCAAGCAAGATGGGTATTGGAAACCCTGGGCAGTGTCGCATCATGGGCAGGGATGCTGTTCTAAGCCAGGAAGTCCAGGCACTTGGTTATAAAGAAGGGCAGAGTTACCAGCAAGTTTAGTCTCCAAGTCCAGGGTGAGGTCATTCCATCCATCGAAGACAATCCAATAAAGTGCCTGGGGAAGTGGTTTAACGCGTCGCTTACAGACGGCTCCAATGGTGCTGAGGCTGTGAAGCAGACCAGGGAGTGGCTGAAGAAGATAGACAAATCTTTACTTCTGGGCAAGTTCAAGACCTGGCTTTATCAGCATGGCCTTTTGCCCAGGCTCCTCTGGCTCTTCACCGTCTACGAGTTCCCCATGACGGCTGTAGAGGCCATTGAGAGAAAGACCAACAAACATCTAAGAAGATGGCTGGGCATTCCCCCAAGTTTCTCTTCAGTGGGCCTTTACATCCGGTCCGGGCAGCTGCAACTTCCCCTATCATCGGTTGTGGAGGAGTTCAAGGTGGCTAAGTGCAAAGTCATGCTGAGCCTGAGTGAGTCCAATGACGATCTGGTAAGGCAAGCAGGCGTCACAACCAGGTCCAGGCGCAAGTGGGCTGCCGACAAAGCCGTGGAGCAGGCGGTGAGCTCACTAAAGTTGCGAGACATCATCGGCAACCAAAACGTCCACCGGCAAGGCCTCAGCTCTGTTCATTTCCAAACGTGAGGAGGAGCAAATGCAAGAACCAGACGAGACATGGTGCAGGCGGTAGTCCGGAGCAAGGAAGAGGAGAAGCGGATAGCCAGGGCAGTGGAACAAGGCTCTCAGGGAGCTTGGACAAAATGGGATTTGCCCAAGCGCAAGGTCACATGACAAGAACTGTGGCGACTGGAGCCATACCGTATCTCCTTCCTCTTGAGGTCCGTGTACGATACCTTACCTTCACCATCACATCTGCACACATGGGGACTGAGAGAGGATCCACTCTGCAAGCTCTGCAGTCAGAGGGGGACTTTGGCTCACATACTGTCTGGGTGCAAAACAGCTTTAACCCAAGGGCGGTATAGGTGGCGTCACGATAAAGTCCTCCTCTCACTTGCAGACACCATAGAGTGGGAGAGATGCAAGAAGAGGCCAGCGGGCACAACCACAGTAAGAGCAATCACCTTCCTCAAGGAAGGAGATAGGCCTACCCCGACGACAAGAAGAAAGTCCAACATTCTTCAAACCGCAAGTTCCTGGGAGAAGAGGGTCGACGTGGGAAGGAGACTGCAGTTTCCGGACGTGGTCCAAACAACCCTCTGACCAGATATTGTGCTGTGGTCAACCAAAGACCAGAAGATAATTCTGGTCGAACTAACTATGCCATGGGAGGAAGGCTGTGAAGAGGTCCACGAGAGGAAGGCCTCAAAATACCAGCCCCTGATCCAAGACTGCAGGGACAAGGGCTGGCAGGCATGGTTGTTCCCGGTGGAGATTGGATGCAGGGGCTTCCTAGCTAAGTCGGCTTGGCGTTTGATGTCAGCTCTGGGCCTGGATGAGTGGAGCAAGAAGCAGGCTGCTCGCAGGATTGGGGGGGAAGCGGAACGCGCCTTGTGTTGGATATGGAACAAGCCGCAGAGAGAAAGCTGGAGGCCAGGAGCAGGTGCGCAGTGAGCTGGCCACTCACTGCCGGCCAGCCAACCGGAGAGTGTTGTGGTTGAGGGTCGAAACACTCAGTGAAGGTTGTGTACCACCTGATGACACCTGCTCCTGGCCAAAAGCTACAGCTACCGGCAAAGGTAGCTGAGGTAGGCACTAAAAGTGTATGTAATTAATTATGATTGATTGATTGATTGATTAATTGATTGATTGATGTGAGAGTAAGAGGAAGAATACAGATAGTTTAAGAATACAGATTTTTCACAGGAGTTTTACAGATGTTGACAGCAGCTGTAAAGATGGAACTTGTTCAGTCGTGAACCTCACTGGGATCGGTCTGTCGCTACATGTAAATCTTTTGGCTTTAAAAAACCAAACTGATCAATCAATCCATTGATTGCAGGTCTTCCTGAAGAGTGACCGAGTGTCCCGGATGGTGCAGAGCGGCGGCTGCTCGGCCAGCGACTCTCGGGAGGTTTTTAAGAAGCACATAGAGAAGCGGGTGCGCAGCCTGCCCGAGATCGATGGCCTCAGCAAAGAGACAGTGCTGAGCTCCTGGATCGCCAAGTTTGACACCATCTACCGCGGCGAGGAGGACCCCAGGAAGCACCAACAGAGGATGACTGCCAGCGCCGCCTCCGAGCTCATCCTCAGCAAAGACCAGCTCTATGAGATGTTTCAGCAGATCCTGGGCATCAAGAAGTTCGAGCACCAGCTCCTTTACAACGCCTGCCAGGTCAGTCTGTGATACATGACTTTATGTCTGTTCATCTGTCCTCTTCAGTTGTTCTGGGACATTAGGCCCAATTTCTGTTGTTGCAGCCACATCAGTCTCATCCTTTGTGATAATATTTCTGTTGCTATTATGCTGTCTTAGACACAGAAACATTTCATTCCCATTCTTATGCTCTGAATGTCGTTTTTCAGTTCAGGGAAACAGCTGTCAGTCTCCACACCACCAGACGTGTTTGAATGGATAAAAACATCAAACATGTGGACCGTTATCCAGATGTCTAGAACCAGGCTGCTCCAAAACCAGATCATTCCTGTCCTGTAGAGACATGGAACAAGTTTTACTCACTTCTGTACACTGTTGTTTAGATTACTGTGATGCACAAGGAACCAGTGCCTCACTGGTTTGCTGTTTTCTGAAAAGTTGCCTTTATTCCTCCGCACTAGCCACAGTCAAGGGCGGCGGCATATTGTAATCGGGTTGTCTGTCCGTCCCATTCATGTGAACACGGTATCACAGTAACGCCTTGATGGCACAAACATTCACTAGGACTCAACGATGAACTGATTGATTGGTGGTCAAAATCATGGTTTTGGCCTTGTGAATGCGATATCTTCAGGAACACAAACAGTGTTTTAGTGGAGCCATACAACCGTGAGGCAGTAACTTTAGTTATTCAGAGCAGCTCCTCCAAACTTAAAATCATCTTCAGCAATGAAGCTCTCTGTCCTTCACTGTAAATGACTTTAATGTTGACAGCCTGACTGTCAATCCACAACAAAAGTGAAACATGCATGGTGCATAAGTACAACTGAAGCATTCGGTCTGTTCAGTTCACACCACTTCAACCTCAGTTCAGTTAGCAGGGGGCTAAAAAGACAGTGGTTGGTTCATCTGTCTTCACCAGACTCACTGATATCAGAAATTTACCAGAAAACATTTTTAACTTCCATGAGGAGGAAAGCAGCATATTATATTTATATTATATTTATTTAACAAGTCATTGATTTTATTCCGCTGCCTGGGAGAAACCAGTAAACTCGTAGCTTCACGGGAGGTCTGGACAATCAGTACAGATACTGTTAAGAGGTTCACAGCAGATCACCTGTGGGGAATTTGTATGATTTACACAGCTTTATGTGGAGATTCTGCTTTACTTAGTCTGCCAAAGAAAAAAATATAACCTTTACACCAAAATCAGTGTGTATAAGCAGGTTTCTTAAAAGCAGTAAACCCGCTAAAAAATGGCAGTTGACTTCTTTCACACTGTCAGAGGAGTTTGCCACACACACAACTGCAGGGAGCATAGTCATCGCATGCGGTTACAGAGCACACACACACACACACACACACACACACACACACACACACACACACACACACACACACACACACACACATACACATTAAAAGAATGCGCTGTTAGCTGTGATGTAAAATAGATCTGTTGCATCTCATCATCATCATGAGTGGGTGCTCCTGTAAGTGTTCCTCGTTTGAGACGCTTCAATTGGTCATTGTGTGTTTTAAACTTGTCTTTTAAACTCTGCTCCCTCTCAGAGGAAGGCGTAGGTGTTTCTGGTGTTGGTGGACAGGTGACCGGTGTGTTTACAGTGTTTGTCCTCTGAGAGAAGTCACAGCAGGAAAAGGGGTTCATCTGGGTGTCATGTTTACATCACTGCTGATTGGGGCTGGAGCTGATAACCACCTGTGATTACTGCAGAGTCATGTGACCCAGGAGTGAATGCTGATTGTACCCTTTCACACTGATGACAAAAAACAGATATTAACAGGTGTTAGCAGGTTTTTTGTCCAGTGTAAGAGACAGTTTGGATTTTTGAATTTTGATACATTATCTTTATCATTATCTCCCAAATGTTTCCATCAGTTGTCAAGCCAGAGAAATCTGTGATTTTAATCATGGTAACGTTTCATTGGTGTCCTGTCATGTGACATCATATCCTCTATGATCATGTGTCAGTGTGTTTGTCTGACAGAAGCTCAACATTGACTTTTATCTAGTTTTAAGCCACAAACACTTTTTACACCTTGGTGGTTTTAGCTCTGTATTTGAACCAGATGAAGGATTTTAGTCGTCAGACGTCTGGATCTGAAGTTATCAGAGAAACAAGCTGAGGAAATGTTAGACAGCTCAGCTCCCAGCTGCTGGAGACGTCCTGTCCTGTGTCACTGAAGAGCGTCGCTGAATCTCTGATGTTTAAAGTCAAACTGTTTTCTGGGTGTTTCTACTGGTTTTAATCCCCTGGCGTGTTTGTTATGGAGAGGAGGATAATTCAGCTGCTGGTAAAAACCTGCTGAACGTGAAGTTATTAAAGACACAAAGGAAAGCAGTCTCAATTTCCAGCGAGACATCCTGTGTCAGAAGAGCCTGTGACTGACTTTAAATGTGAAACTGCTTTATTCAGTGTTTTTAACGGTTAGAATCACCAGGTCTGTTTGATTTCCTGAACCACTGACACTGAAGGAATCTAAACCAGGAGGAGCTTATGGTAATGGTGGTGAAGACAACAACTCCCATGATCCCACGCTATTTCATGATGTCATCCAGCTTCCTCTGTTATTATTGTTGTTGTTATAATTTTGACTGAGAGACCCCTAGAGGCAGAAGTTACAGACTGTGAGTTTCTTCTGTTGTGGACAGTGTGTGAAAGCAGCCTGAACAATATAAACCATAAAATGATACAAAACAAAGCAAGGGTGATGTTGGTGAGGAAGAAGCTTCATTTTTAAAACATCACATTTTTTCATGTGAGGAGTACAAAGCATACGGAGAACAATCAGGTGTGTGTGGAGGTTCAAACCGAGAGCAGAGAAGAAGCACGGGGAAGGAACAATGAGACTGGATTCTATACATTGATGATCCACTGTTAAATTGCCAGGTATCGCATCAATAGAAGATTCTGCTGCTGGCTGGAAAATGAGTCATTAATATATGCAGAGTGTAATGGTAATGGCAGGGCAGAGTGCTGGGCTGTAAAGGCAGATTGATGTGGTAATAATGGTGTCCAGTCATCGGCAGCTGGAGGCCGGCCTACAGGTACTCAGTACTTTTGTCAGTGCTCAGTCCACCACTGAAGAGACCAGGGGGATGAATCCTGCTCACTGTCAGGGCTTTTTGCATAAATCCTCCAGGCAAGGACTCAAAAACACGACTTGAAGGCAAAACCTGAAAGTCTACTGGAAAAATAGGTCAGTACACAGACGGTCAAGAAGAAGCAGGCCAACAAATCCAAAGAGCTGAGCTAAAGGCAAGCTCAAAAAACCAAGAAAAGAGTTTAAGCTGGAACAGTAACACAAGGAAAGGCAGGAACACTTGTCCCAGGGAACAAAGACTGGCACAGGGACTAAATACAGTAGGAAGTGAAGACAATAGCCACGTTTCCACCGTAGGACCTTTCCCCAGGAACTTTCCCCAGGAACCACACTGGAAAAAAAGGCCACTCCAAAAATAAGCAAAAAAAAATTAATATAAGATATTTTTTGCTTGAGTGCTGTCGCCTCACAGCAAGAAGGTTCCGGGTTCGAGTCCCGGCTCGGACGCGGGGTCTTTCTGTGTGGAGTTTGCATGTTCTCCCCGTGCTTGTGTGAGTTCTCTCCGGGTACTCCGGCTTCCTCCCACAGTCCAAAGACATGCAAATGGGGACTAGGCTGATTGGTTACTCCAAATTGACCATAGGTATGACTGTGAGAGTGAGTGGCTGTTTGTCTCTGTGTGCCCTGTGATGGACTGGCGACCTGTCCAGGGTGTACCCCGCCTCTCGCCCGAAAGGATGCTGGGATAGGCTCCAGCCCCCCCGCGACCCTACTAGAGGATAAGCGGTAGAAAATGGATGGATGGATATTTTTTGCTTGTAATAAGCAAAAAAATCTGCCAATGGAACAAGTGAAAATTCTCTTGGTAAGATTTCTTGAAATAAGACATTATATTTAATCCTTACAGGATAAGAGTGATCTTGAAATTAGCTGGGAAAACTCACTTTTAGCTATATTTTACTAGTATTCTGATGTTTTGTGTCTCATAATAAGCTTGTGATGCGCAAAAATAGTATTTTCCCCTCAAAAGTTTTTGCCATCCTGTTTGTTTCAAGTGTATTTAACTAATTTTTAGTTCTATAATTGTGACACTGTTCTAGATTTAAGTCCACCACCTACTTGAAATAAGATTAGAAACTGGCATTTTGAGACAAAATGTCTTGAAGTTAGCATTCCTGACTCATAGGCAGTGCTCTTTTGCCATAATAAGCCATAATTTACCATCCTGTGCATTTACCTTATTGTAAACTCTACAAAAGTAATACTGTTCTAGATTCAAGACATTCACCTACTAGATTCAAGACATTAACTACTTCTTATAAGATAGAAAAACTTCTTGAAACAAGATGATTCATCTTTTACAAATAACACAGCAGCTTAAAAACCTTATGACATGTCAAAAAAGCTTGTTTCATCTGAGATATGACTCAAAACAAGATGTTTTCAAGACTGTTTCACTTAACAAGATATTCAAGATGCACTGTCTAAAAACAAGCTCCTTTATCTCACTTAAATCTTACTCTTTAGTTGATTTTGTCTTATATTAAGTGTGATGAGATATTTTGACTAGAAATTAGAAAAATATACTTGGTAAGATTTTGAGTTTTTGCAGTACAGGAACTTTTTGAGGAAATACAGTATGTGCATTTCCAACGCAGGAACCAGGGTTTAAATTTAGTTCCTGGGTAACTAATTGACGCTCAACAAATCCCTGGTTGGGGGGGTAGTACTTTCCAAAGGTTCAGAAACTTTGGGGGGTGTGGTCTGCAGTGCTGAACATTTCTGACTGGTCGAGTCCTCGCTGCATTTTATTTCCCCTGCCATGTTTAAAAATCTGCAGTGAGAGAGCGAGCAAGCGAGCAAACACATTTTCCACATTTCATTTCACCCGCCATGTTTAAAAGTCCACAGTGAGAGAGTGAGCAAGCGAGGAAACACATTTTCCACAC